CCTGGTCGACTCGCACCTGAACGACATTGTGGTGTACAATTTGGGCGCCGAGGATCTGAATTTCATATTGGAATCGTGCTCCAGGCTGAACACCACCACGGTCAAGAAGAAGGAGAACTTCGTGCGCTATCTGTTCTGCCTGCAGGATGCCTGGAATCTGGTCTGTGAGCTATATTTGAGCAACTCGGCGCTGCACGACATCGAGAACGGCAAGCTGCGCAGCCAGCAGCCGAAGCTGCCCATGCATCTGGGAGCGGCCAAGTCCATGTGCATTGCCCTCAATGGCAACGGCGATGCGGCCAGCAGCAGCGCCAACACGGATCTGTCCAACGATGTCAGCTACAATGGACGCCCCAGTTCCACATCGCCCAGCAAGTGTGTGCAGCTGGAGGAGGAGAATGTGACGATGACCACATTGATAAGCGAATTCCAGCCAAAGTGCCGCAGCAATCCGTTCGACACGAATCGCCAGGCGACCAAGACGGAGGCCGAGTCCATCTCGCCAGAAATCGAACAGCAGCGCGCGACGAGCATCCTGAAGGACTCGAACTATAAGCGTGCTGCATTGGCTCAGCTCGTGGTCGCCTCCATGGAACTGTTGCGCTCGCTGCCCAACGAGGCCGAGGAGAATCTCAAATTGCTAATGACGCCCACCATCAGGGAGGCGTTCCGACTCGTCCAGCTGCAGGGCAACGAGCTGAAGGTCAACCAATTTTAGGCAATGCTTGTTGAGTTTTATTTTGATCTGTAGACGCAGCTAAACATGCCTCTACACACTCCCGGGTTCACTCACCTACTCTCACTCTTCCTCTCTCACACTGTCACCCCTTGCCCCTCTCTAGATCACCCCTCGATGTCACTGGCGAGTGCATGGATAGCTACGACGCTATCAATGGCAGCACTCAGGCATGCACTAACCCATTTCCTTGATTATACAAATAATTGGTTTAACTTAATTGATGTTTTAAGCAGAGTTTAAGTCCACCTCTATCCACACTAACGTAAATTTTAACTTCAACTCAATCCAAGTTCAACATAACCTAACTTGTGGATAAACCTAACCCAAGCTCAATAGAGCCTCAGATTCAATCCAGTTCCATTTCAAATCCAAGAATCTAAACTTCAGTTTAGCTTATGTCAACTTCAATTCGATTCAAGCTAACCTAGGTTTAAACGAGCTCAAGTTCAACTTAACCTCAACGATCTTGTCGATCAGCTGTGTGGCTTTGCATAACGGTTAATTAAGGCTACGTTTTACAACGCACGCGCTCAATTTCTAACTGTATCTGTCTCTCTGTTTCGCTCTCTCTCTCTCTCTCTCTCTCTCTCTCTCTCGCTATCGCTCTCTCTGTCTCTCTCTGACACGCCAATCCACCCTGTCTCTATTTCTGTCACTCTCGCTCCCTCCACAGCAGGCCAAACCATTTCAAAGTAAAAGCTCAACATGAAAAGGCACAAAAAAAGTAAACAAACAAACAAAAAACTGAACGAAAGTACAATTCGAATGCTGCAATAAGAAGAAGATGAAACCGAATACGTATTAATTAACGAAGAACAGCAGATAATTCCAGGTGTAAAATGTAGTAAAACCAAAGAAGCAGAAGATGCAGCAACGCTAGCAACGTAGTCTTGTACATTGTAACTATTTAGCAAAAACAAAAACTAAAAACCTTTTTGAACCACAATTTCAACAGCCCCACAGCACGTTTACCCATTAATTCCATTATAGTCATAGTCTTTCTTCCCCAAACTCTGTCTCTCACACACTTTCTCTCTGCCCCTCTTGTATGTGCACCACTGTAAAGCTCTGTCTCTCTCTCTCTCTCTCTCTCTCTCTCTCTCTCTCTTTATTTCTAAGTTCATTTTAGGCGCCTTTTTAGAGTCTAGGAGTCCATTACGTAATGAGAAATCAAAAAAAGAAAAGCTAAGGAAATTCTTTTATAATAGTGGAACATGTGTACTATATATCATCGATCGCTATTATGTGTTGTGCCTAAGTAGCTAACCTAAAAAAATAAATTTAAAAAAAAAAACAAAACTGAAATGGGAAAAACTAAAACAAAATCCAAAAAAAAATATTTTTGATGGCCTTTATGCATAGAGCGTAGCGCCATAATCAATTCAAAACTATATGCCAGCCTATATATACGTTATATATAAATATATATATATGTATACTATATAAGCGAGATAAAACCTAAAATATGTATATCTTAGCCTAAGAGCCGCTTTAACGAACTTCTGTATAGCCTGTATATTTTCGAAATTAACGATCTATGAACATATATCGAGATAAAAGTATGCGAAAATCTTAAGATAAACAAAAGATCTATATAAGATCGAATTTCAGCTCAATGTTATAGACATATTTAAAGAGAACTAAATGTAAACTGTATTATAGCTAATAATTTGCCTATACAAAATTATCCATATATATACAACTATATATAGATATATATATATATATAGAGTATCTATGAAATTGTATTATCTATTATATATATATATATATATATACATATATATGTATTATAAAAGTAAACATATAGCAAATGTTAACTAACACAAAATCAGTGCCGCCCATTAATCCACGATTACCACCATTAAATATTAGTCAAACACACAGACACACACACACACATACACACGCAACCAAGCACAAACACACACATACACATATACCTATAAAGCCTAGAGTACTTTATGCATATACTTCACATACTTGTATATATACATACATACATATGTACGTGAAAACAATGTAGACGAGGGTATTCTATAAAATTGAGGCTAGAAAAAGAAATTCAAATTTATTTATTTAAATATTTATATATGCATATATACATAGTTTGTTGTAAAGTCGCGCAATAATGTAGAATACCCCCGACAATATATTTTGTGTATATATCTTGTATGTGAACCGTTGTCCCGCGCTGCCTTTAAACTAGCATACATTTTGTACCAGTGTGCGTACCTAAGAGAAACACAAACCTTACAACAAATTCTCAATACACTTTTGCACTAATCGTCGTCATCGTCGCCGTCGCCGTCGCTTCTTAGCCTCCGTTCAAAACTTAGCTTTAAACGTTCGTTTACGCGCAGCTTATGAAGGACCCTATATTCGAATACATATAGCCGTACTATACCAAACCATAATCTATATACATATATACACACAGATATGCGTATTTAAACAAAAAGAGCTAAAGAGCTAGAGATCTATATAGCCATATCTCTAAATGTACTTACATGTATTATAGTTGCCTCTTGAATATATATACTCTATGTTGTAAATGTCAAAAAAAAAAGAAAAAAAAAAACGAAAGAAACGAAAAACAAATCATTTTTATATATATGTGACAACTATACAGAAGACTATATATATATCTATATATATATATTAGCTACAGCGCTACAAATCTATACGTACATATTTACGAGTACTATATATATAAACGAGCATATATTTTTCGCTTCTTATGTTATTTATCTACTTGCCCGTCTCTTTTTCAAACTCTCTATCTCTCTTTCTATCTAACTTGTAACTAAAACTAATTGTATTTAAGTGCGAAGAGTAGGAATGAGAACAACAAATGAAATGAAATGAGATATGAGAAATGGGGCATAGCGAAATGATTGAATTGCAAACTATGTATGTAATTCAACTCTTGAAGAGTCCATTTGTAATATGAATGAAAATACAAAATTAAACAACGCTTTCGCAACTTTACTAAAACACACCCAAACGCTTTTCAATTTTCAAATTCAACAAAAGCGCGCGCGCACTCCTTAACTAAGCGCAGCTCACATCACTAGATTTTCTTGACTCCACGGAAAGGATACAACTTATCGATTAATCGATACATATGACAGCAGGTAAAATCAGCGTTAAATATCGTTGGCGAGGTTGAAATTTGCTCTTCAAATTGATTGATTATTTCCCACAATTTATCCCTAAATAAAATGAAAGAGTTCTAATATTTTGTGTAATTTTGTTGCTTTGTTTTATATATGCCACAATTCCACGTTTATTATGTTGCATGTACATATGTATATGTAGATACGTGCACGTACTTCAATTGTATTTGTTATATATCTGTATCTGTATATGAATATGTATATTATGTATATTAACACCTTTAATGGCTAAACTTAATTTAATTATTACAGTTAGAGGACCTTAATTACAAACAGCGGTTTGACTTTTCAGTATCAACTTAAAAATATATTGACGTGAAAAAAAATGCCTTAACTTGGTTGTATTAATAATTAAGTGTGTTTTTTGTTTCTCGTTTATATTAGGTTTAGATTTAAGATTTTTAGAATTTTCCGTTAGCTTTTCTTTTGCATTATGTTCCATTTCAATTAGCAAATTGCGCGCTGCGCTGCAGCCTTCTCAATAAAGAATAAAATATTAAAAAAAATTCAAATACATATAAAAAAAAAAACAAAAAATTTGAAACAAGGTCTGAAATCATATCATATATATACATATATGTATATATAGGTATATGTGAGTGTAACTAAACATATGCACAATAAATAGTTAACATTTGCTTGGTGGTATTTCAGTGTCTGCGTGTGTGTGTGTATATATGTGCATGTGTCTGTATGTGTGTACTAGCATATATATGTTAAACTAAATTAAATTAATTACTCTTTAAATCATTAAGAAAAGTCCATAAAATAAGCGTTTTCATTTGTTTTTTCACTATATCTTTTTTTTTTCTTTTTTTTTTTTGCTATTCTGTGCGAGTGATAAAAATAAAAAATAAAGACTAAAGAGAAAATTTTCAAATTATTAAAAATTGTTGACTCTCAACACTCTACTTGAAATACATTTTGAGTTATGTACGGTAGCGATACTTTAAAATTAACAGAATAAGGAAATTAAAGTCTAAAAGAAAAAAAATAAGATGAATAAGGTCAAATCAGAGGTAGAAGTCAATTAGCTCTCCTAAATCCTTCTAAATATTGTTTGTTTCTTCTTCTTCACCTTCTGCTTCATTTTTCTTGGTTGGGCTTTTATAAATGTTTTGAAGAGTCCGACGAGTATGAAATAGATCTCGTCGTGGATTGGATTAGGGTTTCACACTTGGGTGGATGGAGTGAAAGTGATTAATTGAAATGTTTTCTAATAGTTGAACTCCTCCTGCTTCTCCGAGTCGCTGCGCAAATCATTCATGAGCGGCTCATAGCATGACTTTGGTATCATAGTGCCGACGATTTTCTGCCCCTCCGTTGTCTTCATGCGTATCACCTGCATTTTGCTGTTGGAGCGCGTGTTCAGTATATGCTCGACCCGTCCCCAGACGGACAGCACCGAGCCGGCCAATACATGATAGAGGCGCTGTCGAAGACCCACCTGCAAATGGATACCAAGTGGATGAGGACTTCATCAGATCGAGTCATTCGCTGATCCGCCCTTACCTCACAGTCGTTGCCCAGACTGACGTTGCGGCAATTGCCATTCCAATAGGCGTGGGAGCAGGTGTGCACCGAGGCATCGTATTGCTCGGTCCAATGCGGTTCGGCCTCCTCGCTGCTCACCTTGCGGTACTTCTTCTCCAGCTCGAAGAGCGATTCGTGGCGCACCTGCAGCCCGGTGTTGGGCCGGTAGATCTGGCACATGATCTCCTTCTTGCTGCGCGTCTTCTTCTTCTGCGCCTTGCTGCTGCTGCTGCCGTCGGCCTCGCCGGAGCTGCGAGCCGCCGCCGGCTGCTCGATGACAACCACCAGGATGGCTGTGCGCTTGTGATTGCGCAGCTGATGCGACGTGTAGAAGCCCTCGTGCTCGTTGAACAGATCCGCATATCTGGCAGAGAGTAGAACAAACCGATGCTCATCATCTATCCTATCTATCTATCTATCTATCTATCTATCTATACGCATTCGCTGTGCAACACTCACTTGTCAATGGCCTCCTGCCAGATCATGCCGCGCTCCACGCGCACCGTGTGGAGCTCTGTGGGCGCCACGCCTGTGGCATGTTTGCGCATGAAGCGGATCAGACGCACGCGGGTCACGTTCTCGCCGGCTGCGCCCAGGTCTGAAAATAAACGAGTAACTCGAGTTAGATATGGCCCCATAATGTGTCCCCTCATCTGATATCAAATAGCTAACTGTTATAGAGCCAATGGAGCTGCCGTTCATTCTCCTCTTTCGTTGTTCTTCTGTTCTTCTCTTTTTTCTTTCGCTGTATTCTCTTGCTACTTTACTCTTCAGCTTTACTTGCCATTCCTTTTCTTTGTCTCTAGCCCCATTCCTTTAGACCTTTCTTTCAATTTTCTTTTTGCTTTCTGCTCCTCTTTTCTCTAGCTTCTTCTCTTTGCTTATCTTTCTTAGCACATTGCTTCTTCCATCCACATTCTTCTCTTCTCTCACTCCCATCTTTTGCTTCTTCCGCTGTCCAACACTCACCGACAATGCCCAGATCGAAGCGACCGCCACGCTTGGCCTGGTTGATGATGGCCGCCATGGTGTCCGTGAAGTACTTGAAGAGTCGGTTCTGCAGGTCCACCGGGCAGCCGAGGATGCGATTGAGAAACTTGGATATGTTGTTGTAGTCCTTGTCCAGGCTGAGCACGCCCGGATGGCTCTCGCTGTTGACTATGATGCCCACGCCCACCAGGGCGCCGGCAATGTCCTTGAAGAACTCGCCATTGTAGTCGGTGGGCGGCGGCACCAGCGGCGTCTCGTAGCCCATTATGGTGCGCATGACCGTCTCCAGGGCCTGCCGGCCGTACTTGTTGTCAATGTTGAACTGGGAGAGATCGCGCGTCTCCGTGGCGCGCCGATCGCCGTGCGTGAGGGCGCCCAGCGACTCGAGCCGCTTGGCCACCGTCGAGGCGAAACGGCGCTCGCCGGCCAGGTCCGAGATGAGGAAGATGTACTCGGGCGCGTTCACCTGGTTGGAGCGATGGGTGCGGCCAAACTGTTGGATCGCCCGGTCCGCGGACCACGGCAGCTCCAGTGTGATGTGAACGCGCCGTCGCTGGTTGAAGACGCGACGATCGCTCTGCAGCGAAATGCCACTGGAGGCGGCCTCCGAGATGATGGCCACATCCTTCTGGCCGTCCATGAAGCGTTGCTTCTCCGTTATGTTGAGCGTCTCGAGCGGCACATCCGATTCGGTGCGCGACTCATACTGAATGGAGCCGTCATCGCTCTGGACGACCCGACCCCGTCGGCCGGTCATCTCGGCCACGTTATCCGGCCCGCCCAGCTCGTCGATCAGCTGGTCCAGCGTGTTCGGCGGCAGCCGAGCGCCGAGCTTTTCGATCTTGCGCAGCAGCTCCTCCTTCATGGTGCACGCCCGCTCGATGGCATCCTTGGGCGGCGGGCCGTAGTTCAGCTTCACCCCATTCACGCCCACCGGCGTCATGGTGCCCTTCAGCTCCTGCTTCTTCTGCAGCAGATCCTGGATCTTGTCCTGTGTGGACAGCTGCGGGGGTTTCCGGCTCTTGGCCGCGTTCAGGGCGGCGGCCACCGTTGCCGACATCGCTGCATTGTTGTTGTTGTTGTTGTTGTTGTTATTGTGGTTGCTGCTCGTATTGGGCTCCTTCTTGATGGACTTGGCCTCCTTGCTGCCCTTCTTCTTCTTGGCCTTCTTCTGGGTCTTCTTGCCGCTGGTCTTCTTGCTGCGCGCATTCACCCAGGGATCCATGTCGCTGTCGCTGCCGCTGAGAAAGAACGGATTGAAGTCGGAGCTGCAGTCGCTCGCGACGCTATGCCTGTCGCTGTCATTGTCATGCTTATCCTCGTCCTCGTCCTCATCATCATCATCATCATCATCGTCATCGTCATCGTCATCATCGTCATCCTCGTTCCGGTTCTCATCGTCGTCCCCGTCCTCGTCCTCATCATTGTTGTCCACATTGAACGCATCATCGCTGTCCGGCGCCTCGTCGCTGTTGTTGTCCAAATCCCCGCTGGACGTGTGCGCCGCCTCCTCATCGCTGTCGCTGTACTGCCACGATCCGCTGCGCTTCTTCTTCTTCGACTTGCGGCCGCTCGCCGTCGCGTTGGCGCCTTTGCGCTTGCTCCGATTGCTGCTGCTGCTACTGCTAGTGGTGGTGGTGGTGGTGGTGGTGCCGCTGCGGCTGCTGCTGCAGTTGTTGTTGTTGTTGTTGTTGAGCGTCTGATTGGGCTCCTGCTTGATGGCCGGCCCCTCGTCGTACAGGCCCAAAATGCGATTGATCCGATTGCGATCGGGCGCTGGAAAATGTCGCTCAACAAACGACTGGAAGACGCCTCTGCAAAGCAAGGGGAGAGCAACAGGAAACACATTTATTCAATTGCTAGCAGGGCACATGAGTGCTATGAAATGATATTCAGCTGAATCTACTTGCAACTGGAAGAGCTTCTTCTACTATTTGCTGAAGCTTCTCTTCGTAGAAGAAGGCTCCATAATAAGCTTAACATTTATGTTTGAGCTCATTGCCACTGCTCGGACTATGTTAAGGCTAGTTTAACATTTTGTGTATCTTTGTTAAGGCTCATGAAAGCTTTTTCTGTAGTTGAGCTTCATTCACAGTTATGTCAGCATAAAAACTTCTCTGATTAAGTCAAAGCTCATTGAAGCTCATTTATGCTATTGTCAAACCTCATTTACTGTTGTATTAATATAAAAGCTTCTCTGCCTAGGCTCATAACAGTTTTCAAGCATACGATTTATAAGCTTTTCGGATCAAGTACAAAAGTTTCTTTATCTAAGTTCAGACAAGCTTATGTATTAAAGCTTCTATAAGAGATCATTCAATATGCTAATGAAAGTTTCGTTCTTTCATCGCTAAAGCTCATAACTCAATTTGATATTATTAAAGTTAATTTTAGCTTAAGGCTTGACAGATAAAAAATTCACTAAATATGTTTTTTTACAGCTCATGAAATCTTCTAGTATCTATTGTTAAATTGGGTTTGAGTTCTTTGCCTTAGCTCCTAGAGCTGTCTCTGTTAAGGCTCTTGAAAGCTTCTCACTTAACATTCTACAGTTCACAGCTGCTGTTAGCTATGATTGAAATGTATTTAAGCTGTTCTATGTTATATATTAGCTAAACTTTCGTAGAAAGAGAGAAAGAGAGAGAAAGGGAAAGGGAGAAACCTCTCTCTATTTGTTATTTTCGCTGGCCGAGAAAGAGTTGATCTATTGTAGCTCCCATCTGCTCCATGCCAGCCATAATGGCGTCCATTAGAGTTGGACATTAAGTGGAATTCAATCCGATCAATCAGAAACTCACTTGGCTGTGGACACAAAATCGGTTAGTTCGCCATCATCGCGCTCCAGCTGATCAAGAGTTCGCGCCTCGCCCGTGGACTGGAGGCCGATGACGACGCATTTGCCGTATTTGATGGACTCGCGGGCGATGAGCACCGCATGATTGACCTTGGCCGCAATGCAGAGGTACTTGAAGAAGCGCTGATGCGACGACCAGAACTGTCCCCACATTGTCTTCTTCATGCGGCTCTCGGCGTCGATCAGCTCGGCGGCTTCCGTAAACTTTTGCATCGCCTCCACCCAGAGCTCGACGCTCTGATCGTAGATCCGGCGAAACTCCTTGGAGAGCGGCACCTCCTCGATCTTAAAGCTGACGCCCTTGAAGCTCAGCTGGCGCGCTATATACATGCCGCGCAGCTTCATGTCCATGGCGACGATTTCCATCGCACCGACGCCGCTGCACGAAATGGAGATCTGATTAGGAATATTCCCATTTCACTTTGATTTCAACTCACCGTCGCTCCACGGCCGTAATGAAGTCACCGAATGTGGCAAAGGCCGTGCCCTGGCCCCACAGCCCGAGCCGCACCATATAGGCCATGTTCTTCGGCTCGGAGGCGCCTGTGGCCGACGCATAAACGACTCGCGCCTTGGGCAGCTTCTGCTGCAGCTCGAGCACCGTTTGGCCCGTCTTGGTGGGTTTGCCGGAGCCGACGGGGCACAGGTTCTTCGCCTTGTGGCACTCGTCGAAGATGATGAGCCCCTCAAAGTCCTCGCCGCACCACTGCAGCAGCTGGCGGAAGCGCGAACGATATTTGCCCGTCTTGTTGTTCGACTCGCCAATCAGCGCCGAGTAGGTGCTAAAGATGACGCCGCGCTTGCAGTTGTTATTCGCATCGGAGCTGATCTTGGCGTACTTAAACTGTTCAAGCAAAGAGTTCATTCAATTCGATTAGTTCACACATCTAGCAGAGTTTGGCAACTGATTCTACGTCTATCTCCCAATCTGCTTAAAAGTAATGGCTACACTGTATCTCTTTTCATTTGTGAATGGGAATAGCTTAAGTAATTACCAAGAAATTACTTTTGTAATGCATTGAAGCAAAGTTAATTACATTAGTAATTACATCATTTGAGCTTAATTACTTCAGTAATTGTATTTCAATAGATACCTCTCTACAGCTCTTAAGGCTTCTATAAGAATTGACAATTTCTTGACTGAATCAACTTATTTCTCTCAATTCCTCAAGTAATGAAATCATCTATGCTTAATTACTTCAGTAATTGCGAGGCCTTTCTACAGCTCTTAAGCACATAAACCCATTCCTTAGCAATGACTTTACTGAATCAACTTGCTTATCTCAATTACTCCAGTAATTAGAGATCAATTGATCCCAATTACTCCAGTAATTAGAGATAAACTGAACCCAATTACTACAGTAATTGTATTTATACATTCATTTCAGATCTTAGAGAGCATTACATCTATATGAAATCAGCAATCCTTTGTTAGTTCCCACTAATCAAGCTCCAATTACTCGGGTATTTAATGGGTAATTACTCAATTACTTAATCATCTAGTCTAGGTAGTTAGGTATACTTGGGACTGTCTAGCACCTTATTGAGCGCATGGACTTCGATGCGCGTGGCTCCAATGTCGCTGAGATCGCGTTCCGCATCGTATTTGAGATCATTGGAGACGGATATCCAGAGCGCCTTCTTGCGCCCCTTCAGATAGTTCTCGTAGATGATGCCGGCGATGGTGCGGCCCTTGCCCACGCCGGCGCCATCGCCAATTAGGAAGCCCGCCCGACTGTTGTCCGGCAGGAGATGGTCGTGCGCCTGCGATGCGTACGTAATGGACTCCAGCTGCAGGGCGCTCAGCTGGCCGCTGTTGATCGTTTCGGCGGGTATGGATAGCTTGTAGTAGACATCGCACGGCTCCACGGAGCTGAGCGAGGCGGTCTCCACGACCGGATCCGGATGCTTCTTGCCTAGCTTCACTGCGGGAGCAGAAAGAGAGATTTCGCATCACTCATCGTTCGCACCGTTCAACCGAGCTCGAGTACTCACGTTTGGCTGGCCAATAGTCGGCGTATGTCTCGGCCACGCCCATCTCCTCATAGTCGACCTCATCCTCCTCCTGCTGCACGTAGACAGCCGCCGCCGCCGCCGCCGCCGCCGTCGCCGCATTGGCGTTCGCCACAGCCGCATTCTGCAGCTGCAACTGTTGCAGCTGCTGTTGCTGCAGCTGGTGCTGCTGCTGCGACGGCTGCATGAACAGCTGCGTCATCACATGATTGGGTATGCCACTGGTCAAGTACTCCGGATTGAGCGAGATCAGCTTCTGCAGCTTCTCCAGCATCGTGGTGTTCACCTTCATCCCGCCGCCCGCTGCGCCAGCGCTGGCTGCCGCCTGGGGCGTGGCACCGCCAACGGCGCTGCTGCTCTTCAGTGTGGCGCTGGCAGTAACACCTGCTGCCATGCCCACCGGCTGCGGCTTGAACGGCGTACGCATGGGCGTGGCACCGCCCGCATAGCTCACTGCAAGACAAGTGTGGGGAAACGGGGGGGTTTTTGTTTTTTATGTCGATCGTTTCAGAAGTTTTGATGTGATATTGTTGCATGTGAAAGACAGAGAGGGCGAGACAGTTGGAGGGAGAAGGAGAAGGGCGGATATGAAGAAAGCCAGATGGAGATAAAGAGAGAGAAGTGAGTGAGTAGGAGAAGGAGAGAGAGAGAGAGAGAGAGAGAGAAAAGAGAGTGAAAGAGATGAAGATAGGTGAGCGGGAGAGAGTGAGATGGATATAGGTAAACAGAAAGAGAAAGAGGAGAGGAACAGAGAGGCAAGGAGAAATAGTATATGATATGAACAGAGATAGAGATAGCGATAGAGAGTGAGAAAAGAGAATGAGAGAGATGAAGATAGGTGAGCGGGAGAGAGTGAGATGGATATAGGTAAACAGATAGAGAAAGAGAAGAGAAGGAGAGGAACAGAGAGGCAAGGATGAATAGAACATGATATGAATACAGATAGAAAGAGAGAGAGAGATAGAGACAGAGAGAGAAAGAGAGAGAGAGAGATGGAATGTGATTCATGTGATTAGTAGAGCGAACAAATTGCATTTTAAAATGGATAGGTTAATTAGATTAATATTTCCAATAAGTGAAAGTATTTCAACTATTAGGTATACGAGATCCGTTTAAACAGTATAGCAAATATTGAGAGGGTTCCATTTGTACCCATTGGCCTCATCAATGACTCAGCAATCAACTTGAATTCAGTATCAGACTAAAGATTCTTCACATAGTATTCCACAGACCTCGCACGCCCCTTGACTTTTCGACTTTTGGCACTGCTGAGACTCAATAAGGGACGAAGGAGAATCAAATACATTTCAAGTTGACTGTGAAAAGAGGTCTTTATTGTCCGTATGTAATGTGCAGGAAAAGTTCTAAACAAAAAAAAGTTCTGATTATATGACACTCGAAAGCAACAACAGGTTAAGGGCATAACAAGGACGGAAAATTTTACGACGGTTACTGGTACTCCGCCATGATCTTCACCCGTCCATCCAGCGGAGACTGAGAACCAGCGTCGCATTGGAGCGGCGCAACTGGGGCAGGAGCCAGGCTGGTTGAACTGGTACGACGAATTGTCGAGCAGGAGGTACGCTTGATGTCTTCGTCTCCTGCCTTGTTGCACCCCCTAAACGAAGGCGACGAGCGACGAGGGACAGCCATTGTTGACATAACAACTCGAGATCAGCGGAGTGTATCAATTTTGCGGGCGTTTCGCCTCAAGACAATCGAAAGTTTCTATTGCAACTGGAATGAAAATTGGAAAAATGCTCGACATGTGTCGAGCTCTGTATTCTGTTTGAAAGTGAGGCGAAAAGGTTCCAGCTCCCAATCACAACACGCTTCGATTTCAAAGCCTACTCAGCGAAATTCAAATGAAACCTTCATTTGATGCCTGATTCCAAGACTACTCAGTAAAAATGGAAGCGAACATACGAGACAAATTCTAGCTTACTCGCACACACAATATTGCCCCGGTTTGACGGCCCTAGACTCTTCGACTTCTTGTACTCAGATCCAACAACAGACCAAAGGAAAGAGAGATAGAGGAACAAACATGATTGAGGGTTAAATGTGCTCACAGTTATTTATTTAGTATGTGGAGCGTTTGAGATTTAAGATAAAAACGAAACGAGAGCTAAGGAGAAACTTGTGATGTGGACAGAAATTTGTTCCGGTTGCAGGCACTCCGCCATTGAATGATCTTTACGAGTATTGCCAGCGTAGGGGAAAATGTGTGAGCAGCGACGACTTGAAGAGCCACGCCTTGGGCAAGGAATAGCGTGGCGGGTATTTGAAGCGATTCATGTGCAGTGAACAGGAGGACTTGTGGAACAGGAGGTTCACTTCGAGCAATCGTCGACAGAGCTCTTTCCGTTTACTATCCGACTCAGCTGAGCACTTTTCGGGCAGGGGACCAAAGTGACGGTACTCCACTTTACGCAAAGCGTATTCTGGATCCCGGTATGCCTTGCCGAGCGACGAGCCGAAGCCAAGATTTTTATAGAGAAATTTGATGTTCTTCTCAGGTTTGGCTAGTTGTGGCTGGGTGAGGTCGACCTTTGGCTGCAGATGCCCCCGCGACTTAGTGCCTGTCAGCTGCGAGATGGATTGGGGCTCTGTGACGATTTCCGTTACCGAGTCTTCGAAGGCCGGCTTGGGCTTCCTACATTTTATTAGCGATGAAAAACAGGAGCGCAAGTCGATCGACTGACGCGCGAAGAGTTTGTCTTGTTTCTTCCGGAAGCGTTTCATACCAGCGTCTGGCTCATCGGGCAGACTATGGCAAGGGCTTTCGCCATCTTCCAGGCAAGTTTTGTAGTTCACCATCGTTGGACGCAGATCGTTCAGGCGTCGCATCATACGCTTCATCACACGGCCATGATCGGCGCGCGATTTGTCCATCCGTGGCACCACTTGATTCATCAATAAGCTCTCTAGCTTCTTCAAAGACTGGCCATGGCTGTGATAGAAGCGCCTAATTGCGTTGCTCACTTGCTCTTCAACCTGGCTGTCCACTTGGTCGCTGATGTAATCATTGGTGCTCCTAATGCTGCTACTCGAGCTCATCGGAGTGGGGAATTCTTGCGAACTGCTCTTCTCCATGGTTGAAATTCGAATGATTTTAGTAAAATTGGAACACAAATATTTCTTTTTCCTTTCTGAAACAAAACACCAAATTTTGAAAAAATGCTCACGCTGTAATCAGTAGTATGTTCAGTTTGAAACTGGGGAGAGAAAGGTCCAGCTCTCGTCACAACATAGCCTCGATTCCAAAGCCTACTCAGCAGAAATCAAATCAAACTCAAATACAGAGGCTACTCCGCTCATCGACAAGTTTCATGAATTTGAATGTCTGACAGTGTGCACCAATGTTAATAACAGTGCCCATAATAGCACAACAGGGTGATTCAACATAAAGGCTGCCACTCGCTGCTCTACAAAAAGAAAGATCAAAATATCAATAACAGTGCCCGCCACTACTATTAACAGTGTTCATTAAGGATACCAAACGATTGCACTTACAAGCGTTGCCACTTTTCTCAAGACACAGACAAAATCAACTATTTGTCAATGTAGGCACACACACATAATGATTAGAATTATTTATATTTTTGTTTTTCTTGGTTGTTACCAACATTACAGGACTTACTCTGCGCCAATAAAGACGCGGCCATATTGAAATTGGCAGCAGAGGCGGCTGAAGTTGAGGCGCCGCCGCTATTGGCAAAGAAGCTATTGGTGCCGTTATTGTTGTTCAGGTTGTTGTTGTTGATTAGGTTGTTGTTGCTATTCACTGAAGATCCCTTGGATGCGACATAGGCGGCCAGGCTCATCAGGTCATTGGTGCTAAGGCTGTTCAAATAGTTGCCGGCACCGCTGTTCAAATAGGCGCTGGCTGCACTTAGGCCACTGCCGGCGCCACTTGCGCCAATCCGTGTGTTATTGGCGCCGCTGGCAGCTGCTGCTCCTGCTGCTGGACCAACCAAATCAAAACGAAACAAAACAAAACGAAACAAAGCAACAACAACGACCATAGCAACAACCAAAACAAGAACGAAAATCAAATCAAAAATCAACCAAAAATCAAATCAAACCAAAGAGCGAACGAAAGAGCGAGCGAGCAAGCAAGCGAGCGAGATCATGAAACCGTTTGAAGTGATGCAAAGAAACGGGAAAAAGAGAGTGTATGGGAGAGAGAAAAAGAGAACGAAGACAGCAGCATTAATTTCAAGTTGAGCTTGCAAAAATTGCCTGGCGTATTGCGCGCATATGTATACATATATTTGTGTGTGTGTATGTATGTATTTAGTAGTTATGTGTTCGTGTGGGTGTGAGATATGCATTTGTTGAGTACTCGTATCTGGTCACACTTACCCGCCGTCAATTTCTTTGGCATGTTGTTTGGGCCCTTGTCCGCTAGGGCGACTTTAGTTGTTATCGTCGTTGGCAGCGCCGTAAATTTGCCGCCCACAATTGTTGGCTTTGCTGTATGCGTCACAATCGTTGGCCGCACCACGGTAATGTTATTGCTGCTGTTGTTGTTGCTATTGCTACTGCTACTGCTGTTGCTGTTGCTGGAGTTGTTGCTGATGTTGATGATGTTGCTGCTGTTGATATTGTTGCTCAACAGCAAGGAATTTGGCTTACTAATGCTGTTCACTTTGATGACGTTGTTGTTGTTGTTGTTGTTGCTGATACTACTGTTATTGTTGTTTTTGTTGTTAGTGTTGTTGTTGTTGTTAATAATGCTATTGCTGCTGTTGCCCAGCTTGAGAAAAGCTTCGCTTATGTTGCTGTTGTTGCCGCTCAGGCTGTTCGCCTGTTTGTTGGCAACGTCGATGCCAACTGAACTGCCGCGTATGTTTTTAGCGTAGGTAACTGCAGTATTTAGATCGCGACCGCCGCCTAAAAGATAAGAAAACAACAACAAAACAGTTCATAAAATGTATCACAGCTAAACGAATCCATCAAGTGCAAACTGATATTTGATATTTGACTTGTCTGCAATCTAATCAACAACTAAATGGAATCCCTCAAAACGTAAACTGAGATTCTCAGCCTGACGTGGCGGCAGCATTGTAGCTGGAGTGAGAAGGGAGAAGGGAAATGTTGTTTCTGAACCCAAAAAAAACAGCTTGAACTGAAGCCTAGAAGTATGCTCTGTCCTACATATGTATATTTTAGGCTATCTATACTCGAAAGACTAAGCCCTGGCAGAGTTGAATTAAAATAAGGTTTTTTCTTTTATCTTAATCAGGTTTTTTTTTTCTATTCTCTATATGCTTAGGTGAAAATTTCTCTCTTTAAACAATACAATAACAGTATTTCTTTCACTTTTAAGTCCATTACAACTTTTACTTTCGTAACTTTCGGAAATCCCTATGTACTATGTATATCCAAATATATATATATTTATATGTTTATAAATTTGTACATATATATTTGGAATCGATTTATTTGCATTGCCCTCCGCTGGCTATGTGCACCAAGGCCCCAACCATCTCAAGCAACTTTCAGCCCCCTAATGACGCAGTAGTACACCATCTCTCTTGCGACCATCGCATCTTGATTAGTGTTATGTATAGGGCAGTGCCCGCCCACTTTATGATGTCCGTGAACGCACAAGCACACACATATTATAGATATGTATAATGAGTATATAATTAGCAAATGCTTGTAGACATTTGCGACTGTCTATGCACATTTGTAGAGTGAGAGAGAGAGAGAGAGAGAGAGAGAGAGAGAGAGAGAGAGAGAGAGAG